TATATATATATATATTATACACGCGTGCAAATTGATGCATTGGTTTGTTGGTTTTTTCAACTACATTTTCTACTGAAGTCCACTTCCAGAAGCATTGACTTACTCTTGACTCCAATTCCCATTCGTTGGGCAAGTTTACTGTAAGATGATCGTTTATAATGAACGAGTACTCTTTATCTTGTTGTTTATTCGTCTAGAAGTTCACACTGAAACCTTGCTCTCGATTTCGAATCGAACGTTATTCTACAGTTTTGCTTTGTACATAATATATAAGTTTTGCGGCCGTTGACACGATACACCTGCTTTCATTCTAAATTTAAATTTGTGCTTTGATACAGGTTTTCGGCGACTTGTTCAGTTGGTTGTTTATCACGTCCGACGGCACCATGGGGAAAGACTTTCCATACATGGACGAGAATGGGAGCATCAGCAAAACAAATATCCTACGAGAGAAGCGTATCCGTACTCCAACACAAATCTACGCATCTACGAAGCTTGTGACCGCTTTTGAAGTGAGTTGGTCTGTTTCCATTCTACGTTTAAGTAGTGTGTACATAGAACTATTATGGGGCAGACTGCATACACGTTTATTTAATTTTCTTTATATAAGCATACACGCTGTTCATTGTATGGCAATGGTTTCTGTCAAACCATTGCGAATTATGGTGAGGGCTCGGTCTCTTGAAGGATATTCTTATCTCTTCAAATTCAAAGTGAAATAGATTGCACAGTTTCGACTGGAGTGTTTAGCTACTGACATGTACGGGGTATACCTGTACCATTTTAGAAATCAACGTTCTTGAAATCTATACAAAGATACTTTTTACCTAAGCTTTAGGTATACACATCCATGCGCGTGTCGCGCATTCTATTCTAACCTTTATATACTCGCGGTCATCCAGGGAACGAAAGATAAGAAAGCACAGAAGAAATTAGATACGTTTAAAAAAAGGCAGAAGGCGAATGCCAAACGCGGCAAGAAATCGAAAGCGGTATGCACTGGCGCATTGTTTAGTGTTTCGTGACCATAAGAAGCGCCCTCGTTCTTGGTGCTCTTGAGCTACTATATGCCCCCTTTCCAGACAAGCATAGAAATTACACTGAAACTTCGAACGGATAGATGATACCATATGGCTGCGTGGGTTTTACTAACCCGTGGTCTACCACGTTGAAGGCAAATGTTAGGTTCTACCGAAGCTTATGCGTTTGGTGCATATCATGTGACTGCATGACAAACTTGTTTTGTTTTTCTCGATATAGCTTTGAGACATGAAATTGAATTCGATTATACAAAACCTGATTTTTGATTGCATCCGGCCCTGGGCAGTGTTTCAAATGGCTGGGCAAACCGGTTAGCACACGTTACGATGAAGAACATGATGATAGAATTACGCGATACAAAACATTCGAGTTCGACGATACGATATACAGAAAGGGGACAAGGTGTGTTGTACTGTCTGACCCGTGGAGTGTGTTATTTGCTCAGATCCTGTAATCTGTTGTTTTGTGTGTGGGAATATCGGAGTATGCATGCGGTGTTGTCTAGTATATAAAATAGCGTCATATCGCTCTGATTTGCACACTATATCATCGTGTTCTGACAAATACCATATTCAAAGTGGATGATATCTATTGATCTGACATATGGTGCAGGTTCTCAGCGTGCTTCCGCGTGGTCTACTGGATACGTCTATGATACTGTACAGTTTAATGTAGAGCCTCCGCATCGATTCGCTCTATTCACATGATTTATCCCTTTATTATTATTTTACCACATACACAATGTTCTTCTTCGTCTATCAGTGAACCAGCTTCTACATCTTTCAGAGCGACCGTCTGTACTATCTAGATAAACCTCTCGTAGCAATTTTCCTCTACCTATTTCAACCGACCTGATGGCTCGCTTTGTAATGTTACCCAATCCGTAGCGTCCACCTACGGAATGCAAGGAAACCAACGATGCCCCATGTGGGTCTGATCCTGGACTGCTTTGAAGCGGAAACAGACGGTCTGCAATACGTGCGTGTGCAATGGTTTCTGCGTGACAACGAGTTGCCTAAGAGTCTGCGTGCGATGGTTAAAAAAAAGCAGACGGTCGAGACGGCACTGATTATCGATGCGACGCGAAACGTCGCTGATATGTTGGCGGAAGAACTGGTCGGTATGTAACATCTTTAACTACGATCTTCATCTAAGGCGCTTGACACTCGCTGTTTGCGCTTGGGGCTGTCATAAACCAAACAGCAGTGATCACAACGGCGGGCGTGAGCATACCAGCTAGCCAGACTACTTTGACGAAGCCAACTCGGCGTCACGGGATCCTCATTTGTCCGTATAACTTCAATAGCTAGCTTAATTATGCTTCATTATTCACTTCACAAGGTAGAGAATCTATTGAATTTTAGCGATTGATCTGATTTGAATCACTTTTGTTGCTGATCGTCAGAGGCTGTGATGGTATGTCCAGCCTGGGAGCACAAACCGCCACAGCCCAGGATAGCGGAAGTTGCAGATAGTATAGAAAGCGATGGCTCTTCACCTGTTTGCAAAACCCCGGCTAGGGTAGGTACAAACTGTCAATTGGAATGCTAGTGTGTCTCGATTGTCAATGTCAAGCATAGTATGTTGGTAGTTTTGCGTATGTGACTGAATATCCTCGGTACCAAGGTTTAATGTTCGATAGTGAGTATTAATCGCAGATGGAAAAGCGTCCCTAGGGGCATATCCGCATTCTGGTATGGTAGACGATACCGTCTCGTTCAACTATGTCGAGAACTAGCCTCTGTCTACGGTACGTCCACTGTCTGATATAATAAATCATACATTTGGCAGTATGTCCATACCATACAATTTCACATCTACCAATACAACTTCGTCAAATCATACTTTCATATCGTTGTAATATATATGTAAGCATACGCCTACAAAGTTGTTTTAAGTGAATATACTTCGCAATTGCCATGCGTTGACATTCTTTCAACTAACTGCATGCCTCACCGGATTTGCAGAACGTGCGTGCGGAACGCAGCGTTGAAGAGGATGAGGACGATGTACCGAAATACTATGTACAGTTCACGTACGATGCTGATAACAAGTCTGTTGCGGAGCTGACCCGCGATACGTATGCCAGTTGGAAGCTGGAGGTGTTTAAACATGCCGAAGTAAAAGGTATGCGTATTGCTGGGGAGACCTAAGCGGCCGGCGGTTGTTTATTGTTTTTTGAGTTCTGAGTGAAGCGCAACAAAGCATTAATACATAAGTCTGAAAATGACTGAGTCTACCTTCAAATTGCTCTACACATGTCGATTATCCGAAATACTATAAAACCATAGCAAACTTTTGAATGATATATGACAGAAGCAGAAAGTGGCGCGGAGGACGATGCCGCAGACGACGAAGACTATAAGGTGTGCTGTTTTTTCTTCTAGTCGTCGAGTTGTACCTATGCCAACCTGTTTCTCATCTGTACAGCCCTGTCATAATTGATGTTTTTCTGTTAGCGAGGTCTGATTGTGACTATTGTAGCTAAGATATCGTGCGCTGATGGATACAGGATCTGCCATCATGTCAGTGGTAAACGATGTCAGCACACGACCACATATACGTGCGAGGGTTAAGCAGCATTCTTGTGCGAACGTACGCATTCGATGTGGTGTGTTCTCGAGGAGAGGACGAGAGCCTCATTGTACTACTGAATGAAAAGTAACTGAGTGATCACGAGTCTGCCTCGTTCCCTTGAAGACTACTGAATTCTTATGGAACGTTCAAAATGACCTAGTACATCCTCTGTCTATATTTAATATGTACGTAGAGGGGTGGATATGCTTGAATGTCTCGTTTAACAGGTTAGCAACCTATCCGAGTAGCAGCCGGGTGGAAGCTTCGTAGCAGAGTTCAAGCTGTCCAGGCGCGTCAGATCTGAATGAATCTGATGAGTGACTCCATGCATGAATGCTTTGATTGTTACAAACAACAGGTGACGGCAGATGAATCAGACGACAGCGGTTCCGAAGGCGAAGTAGAGTCTGATGGCCAATCCCTTGCGCAAGAGGACGACGAAGACTCAGATGAAGACAAGCCCATTTGCAGCAAAAGGTCTGCCTCTATTCTTCTATTAAGTATATGATATCGCACTGGGACACCCTTTGATTCTGTCAGACCTCTAGTTACAGACTATATTTTATGAAGTGCACCTAGTTTTGATTATTTGAGACCATTTAGGACACCCGGGCACAAGTGTCTGTCGGTTAGTACTTTTTGTCTGCCTTAAGTGTTCTGTTTGTATCGCACCCGGGCCGCAGCCATTGCTCGGCAAAAAACTGGCGATCGCCGTTTGTTATAAATGTTTTAGTACACGCGTGGTAATAACGTGACAGGTCGTGAGATACGCCCATGAACATAGTGCGTAGTACACAAATTACTTATCCGAATCTAGCTGTCCGGCTTGTATATCTGTAGAGTCGTTGTTTATGCTGACAGTTCATCCTTGTCTCGTTCTTTCGCATAGAAAACGGGTGACCACGAGGAGGAAACGAACTAGGAAACGCAAGGCACCTCGGCCTCGAGCCAAGCCGAAGACACCAGGAGTGTCGAAGACTAAAAAGCAAAAGATCATGGAGGGCCTCGCGAAGACTATAAACGACAGAGCTAATCGACGGTAGGTGATACTATTGGTCAATCATACATCTCCTGGTAGAATTGTTTATTTGGATCTACCGGAGTCGCGAGTTTATCCAAATACACAATGCGCTCGATTATCATCGCTGTACTGGTGTATTCGAGGTCAGTTTTGTGGTCTGTACACAACAAATGTTTGGATAACCCGATCCTTCTCAGACGATTCGACTATCTACTTCATACAATTCAAACACGACTATAAAGTTCAAAACTGAGCGTACGCCACTTTTTCTTTACTTCTACAGAGATAATACCAGCACCATAGCCGGGGCTGAAGAAGACGTGTATGAGAAAGCCAGGCGCATGCTGCACGTGTCTGCGGTGCCCGACAACCTTCCTTGCCGTGAGAATGAATTTGCTGAGGTGTGTCCTTCAAAGGCTTCCTTTTCATAGAGGCCTTAACCAGACGATAAAATGATCATTACGAATGTACAGCTGACACCGTCACGCCCTTCAAAGGCTTGAATCTATGGCACATCAGAAATTTATGTGAATGAGAGCTGTGGTCCGTTGTGCGGTGTGTTGTTATTGCGGGTGGCGGATTGTGCTAGACTGTGAGCGATGTGTGAGCTGTTCACATTGAGATATGTTCTATGTGTATCCTCCAATGACGCTTAGCTCTTCTGATTGTGTACGAATGAATGTGCAAGGTTTCGTTGCGAAAGATAGTCCATACTAATTATTCACCTCCTGAACTCCAATGTTACTGTTTTACTAAAAGACGAACCACCGGGCGGGAGAGCGCGCCCTTGTATGTATCAGTCGTTGTGGGAACTGCTCGCGAGCTACCCTTGTGATGATTAAAAATTCATATGCCGTGGCATATGCGTGTTGTTTGTAATTGTATCGCTTATAACCTCCTTCCGTTTTACCTTCAGATCTACGGCTTTGCTGAGGGCCATATCACCGGGCGAGAGAGCGGGTCGATGTATATCTCTGGCGTTCCCGGAACGGGGAAGACAGCCACAGTGCACGAGGTTATGCGACAGCTCAAAAGCAGCGCCGATGAAGGTGTGTACGGGTGTATATACCTCCCCGTTTAAATTATTCACTGTATGGTTGGGGCTTGGGCTTCAAACTAGCGAATCTAGTTGCACAAATTGTTTTGAATCTACGAGTGGAACTGTAGTATGTCTAGTACCGGCACTGCCGTTCATTGCACGATGCGTGTAGTACACGTTTGAGCATTGAACTGCTACAATTACAACACGATTTGTGAATCCACGAACAACTCAAAGTGACGTTACGGCGACACAGGTGATCTGCCAGAATTCAAATTCGTTGAGATCAATGGCATGCAGCTCACAGACATCATGCAGGCGTACACACAGATCTGGAAGGGGCTTACGGATGATAAGGTGAGTGCCCATAACAGAGCTCAATGCTTTTCAGTAGGACAAACTAGGAGTAATTGTACCCATACACTCGATTCGAAACATCCGCTTCCTTCGCTATCGCGTGTGTGTGCTTGAGATTCAATGTATGTGTATATCTGCCTGTTCATTTTAACCAAATCAGCTGCGTATAAACCCTTTCTTTGCTCTTGTCTCGTGCTCTGCATGCAGGTTACTCCCAAACAGGCACTGGACAACCTCAAGAGGTACTTCACCACACCATCGCCCCGAAAAGAGTGCATAGTACTACTGGTGGACGAGCTAGATCAGCTGATATCCACTCAACACAGCGTCATGTACGAAATATTCAGGTGAGAATGTATCCGAAGAAGCTATAGAGAATCTCCAAATCATCATACTGCGACTTGTGTAGTGTCTTCACTCCATTATAGTCCTGTCCTTACGCTCGTATCGTTTAACTACTGTCGGTTAGTTTGAACAAGGCGCATATTATTGTATTTGCCATATGCACATTTTCAGCCCGTGTATTCATGTTCAACAGCTTCCAGCAGATACATTCATGTAAAAACATACTTATTATACGTATACACGCGCACACACACACACACACACACACATATTTATATATATATATGTATATATATATACATATCTATA